CTTCCGCTCTCCTCCTTCCCCTTCCCGGCTCTGGGACCCCTTGCTGAGGCTTCCGTGTGGCCCGAGAAACGGGCACAGTAAATACCGAGTGAGGTTCACAAGGTTCTGGTAGATCTGTCTTACACTGAGCGATGGATGCAAACGGGATGCAGGAAAACGAAAGGATTCTGCCAGTCTCGGCCCTCTTCTTTCCCCAGCTTCCCTCTTCTTTTTTTTATTATGTGATTTAAACAAAATAAGCTTCTGTGGAGTCAGGAAGTTACCTCTTTCAAGAGCTGTAAATAAGGTTTGCAGACTAGATAAGGGGTGTGTCCTGACACTTCCCTGTGAGGGTGGGGAGGCCCTGGCACAGGTTGCCCAGAGAAGCTGTGGCTGCCCCTGGATCCCTGGAAGTGTCCAAGGCCAGGTTGGACGGGGCTTGGAGCAACCTGGGGTAGTGGAAGGTGTCCCTGCCCATGGCAGGGGGTGGAATGAGATGATATTTAATGCCCCTTCCCACCCAAACTGAGATTTTGATTATCAGTAGTTTTGTTAATTATGATAATATGTGGTAATAGTTTTTGCTTTGACAACCAAAGCTGGATCTGTCAAGGCAGATGTGTGTATAAAGATATTTGCAGGTTGCAGGTCTCTCATCTCTGTTCTTTGATCTGTGGTTCAAATATAAAAATGAAGCACCAGGTGCTCAGCCCTGGGGTACCCCGAAAATACCCACAATCAGTGAGTGTCACTGGCACTTACTGGTCTGCAACCTGGCTTCCTTTACAGAGCATTATTTGCTTCAAATGAAATTAATATGATAGTGCATTTGGTGCAGAGTAGGGGAATTGCTCTGCTGGAGCTCATCCAGCTGTGAACAGCAGGTTTGATTTTATTATTATCTGCAGATGCTTTGATTTTATTGTTATTTGCAGACAACTTGCTGTCACCTGAACCCCAAACACGGCACATCATTGCTCTGAGTTCTTTTGAAAATCCCACCATTAGTCCCAGGGCTGTGTGTGTGTTACACTGAAAGGATAATTCTGTGTTATGTTCTGTCAAACATGTTGAATTACCTCATCATTCTTTAAATCAATTGCTGTTTCTAAAAAATAAGGCGGCGTTTCGTGGTTTTGACTCTTCCAGAAATTGGGATTTCCAAGGAAGAGGCGCTGGAAGCCCTGCAGGTGGTGAGGCAGGAATGTCACGGGGACGCAGCGAGGACTGCCGGGGGGTCAGGCGCCACCAGAAAGTTCACAGCCCTGGAGCTTCTGGAGGAAGAGCAAGCCCAGGGCTTCATCATCACCTTCTGCTCAGCACTGGACAACATTCTGGGAGGGGGTGTGCAGCTGTCGAAAATCACCGAGGTCTGCGGAGCGCCCGGCGTGGGGAAAACGCAGCTGTGGTATTTTTACCGCCGGGCGACCTTTGTGCGACCAAGAACCACTTTTTGTGGTTTCTCAGCAGAAATGCCCCTTCAGGAGAGGTCTGTGGTGTAAATGTTTCCCTTCTCTCCTGTTTCCCGTGGCAGTATGCAGCTGGCAGTGGACGTGCAGATCCCGGAGTGCTTCGGGGGCGTCGCCGGAGAAGCCGTGTTCATCGACACCGAGGGAAGTTTCATGGTAGACAGAGTGGTGGATATTGCAGCTGCCTGTGTGCAGCACTGCCAGCTCGTTGCTGAGGCTCAGCAAGAGGAAGGTACGTTGCTGAGTTGTTTCTTTCTGCCTGGTAGGCAGGGATGGAGAGAAACAAGTGTCTCGTGGGCTGCAGTGCTACATTTGGGGCTTAGGGAGTTCTTGCTGGCAGCCTTTTATTTCCACCTGTGTGTATCAAACCCTGGATTGCACCAGTGTCTGGAGCTGTGCTGCAGACTGAGCTGGTTTACTTTAAGAATAATTCTTTTTCTACATGATGATCTGAGGGGGTTTAGGTATGTGGGGGTTTGGTGTTTGCCTTTCCTTCTTTCCTTCTTTCCTTCTTTCCTTCTTTCCTTCTTTCCTTCTTTCCTTCTTTCCTTCTTTCCTTCTTTCCTTCTTTCCCTCTTTCCCTCTTTCCTTCTTTCCTTCTTTCCTTCTTTCCTTCTTTCCTTCTTTCTCTCTTTCTCTCTTTCTCTCTTTCTTTCTCCCCTCTTTTTCTCTCTTTCCCTCTCTCTTTCCCTCTCTCTTTCCCTCTCTCTTTCCCTCTCTCTTTCCCTCTCTCTTTCCCTCTCTCTTTCCCTCTCTCTTTCCCTCTCTCTTTCTCTCTCTCTTTCTCTCTCTCTCTCTCTCTTTCTTTCTCTCTTCCTTTCTCCCCTCCTTTCCTTCCTTTCCTTTCTCTTTAAAGATCAAATTTGCAGCTAAACCCAAACACAACTCTGTTCAGCAAAACTGAGGGATTATGTCCTATAACACAGGGTCGAGTGGGGAAAGAGAAGAGCAACAGCAGAACTTTTTGAGGCACTGTTGCTGCTCAAGCCCCATATAGTAAAACTGTAGCTGGAATTCAGCTCCTCCATAAGGTCAATATAGCCAGGCTACTTTTTTTGAGGATTTTTATTCTCTAAGTCATCAGTCTGTTGGGGACAGTGACAAAAGTTCCACGTTACTCTTGGAGAATTTATGCACCAAACTTCTGCTTGAAGTGAGGTGAAAGGACACCATATTAAATGAGCTGCTGCCTGTACATTAAACAAAGGATGATTAATAGTCCCTGATGGCCTCTGGTGGTGTTCTGGCTGGAAAATGATTTACTGGAAAAGTTCTTGTTTCAGAAATAAATGTTTCATTTTTGGAGCCCTCCCTTGGAGGCTCCGGTGTCTCTGTGTGCAAATGCTGAGAGAGCATCTGCTCACCACCTTCCTGACTTTCAAGCCAGATGGAAGGTATGTCTCCACACTTTCTACCTTGCCTGTTCTGTTTCTGGGGGCTTTGCTGTTGCTATGTGTGGAGGGCATAGCTTGGTGGAATGATGAAAGTAACAATATGCTCGTACAGACTTCTGACTCATTTATTCATCTGTTTGCTTGTTCTCAGATCATCTGAAAGCTTTGGAGACCTTCTCCCTTGAAAGTATCCTTTCTCACATATATTACTTCCGTTGTCGTGACTACATAGAGCTCCTTGCCCAGGTCTACCTCCTCCCAGAATTCCTCTCAGAGCATTCCAGGGTAAGGGTTATTGCAGGCTTATCAGAACATATCACTCATCTTCACACTAAAGATTTTTGTCTGTTGTAGTAAGAGTAACATGAGTAAACACCTTGGTACCTCGGCAGCTTGGCAGTAATGTATTGGCTGATGCCAGAGTACAAATGTAAAGCCTTCTGCTTGTTTGCTTTTTCATTCCCATCCCAATTACTCTTGAGAGTAATTTGCTTTTGCTCCCACTGCTGCCACCATCCTGAATTTCCACTTTGGATCCTGGATCTGTGTTGCCACGTGTTGTTACATTTCTGTGAGCTCTGAGTTATGAATCATCACAGAACTGCTTTACAGAAGAGTCTCTGAGCCAGGTGTGCCTGTGGTGACCACAATGATGGGATCAGAAAGGCTTTCTTTTGTCCTAGAAGATCACTGAGGACCAGAAACATCCCACAGCATCTTGGCATCCAAAAAGTGACTTTTCTCCTTCTTTCCAGTACATCTTCTGTTGCTACAAGCAACCAGAGCCTGCAGCCTGACTCTTGGGTGGACTACAGCCAGAAAGTTTCCTAGTACCCCATGTTTCAGAGAAATGCTATTGTAAGGCAGACTATCACCACCTCCCTTCCAGATTTCCAGATTCTGCACAGCAGATCCCTCCCTGTCAGGATCTGGGGAAGGTGGCTGGTGCCTCGTTCCACCAGAGCACAAATCCCCGTTGTTTAGTTAGATTGTCTTTTGCATATGTTCCAAAATTTTCATTTTTGGAAGCTGTTGTGTTCCTGAAGGCGCAGATGGGGGCCTCACTTTTGCTTGGTGTAGTCTGGTACTTCCCTTTCTCTGCCAGGTACTAAGGGTGCCCTGTTGTGTTTGCTCTTGTGGAAAGTACATGGCTTCATTAGCACAGTTACACTGGGCTGCAGCTCCCTGGTACCATCTGTGCTGATTTATCTGTGCTTGGCCTGGAGCCTGAAGTACTGAAGGTTGCAGGAGAACCATAAGACCTTCTGCTGATTCCTTGGACAGGCTATAAGTGACTTGACAGATTGCTCATTGCAGTCCAGCTCCATTAAAATTAGTCTGATCCCTCTGGAGCCCAGTCTGGGACCACAGGGAAACTCCAGGGTTTAGGTTTGTTTTTTTTTTTAAGAGAGATAGTTGTAGAGATTTAGAGATAGGGTGATGTAGAGATCCAAATGTGTCATTTGGAAATATGAATTAATTTGAGATCTTGTTATTAATATGAGAAAAGCTGTTAGAAAATATTCTTATCATAATAAACTGAATTCTTTAAGGTCTGGTAGAGCCAAGCTGACATGGAGAAGGAAGATATTACCAAAGCCCTACTTCTAATACTTTAAGTCTTCTTGTTTGCTATTTATAACAAGTGCAACTGGGAGAAAATTGACTAAATTGCATCCTACCTGGACATATTCATCTGATAGACAGGTTATATAACCATGTATACATTCCTTTATAGCATGAGTCATGTTTATACTGTTAAACTGATTGCTCATAAAGAAATTAGGCATGAAGAAGATGTACAGGCTCATAAAAAAGAATCTGTAGGAAGGAGGAAAAATGAGAAAACAAAAGAATATCTTCTTTTGATTCTAACTATTTAATCTTCTTTTGCAAATTAAGTTTTTTTTTTCTTTTGGAGGCCTGGGGCCATTTCACAGGGTGATGTTTATGCAGTCTTGTATGTTCCAGTAATGAGTTAAATCAATAATACAGAAAATCAGGGGGTTTTTGTTGTTTCCAATTTGTTATCTTGTGCATTAATGCAAGAACTTGTAGATACTGAGGATTTGAGTGACATCTGAACATGAAGGCACTGTAAGACCATCCATCTCCCTCCTGTATTCCAGACAAACTTGGGTCATCAAAACAACTACAACAAATGAAGTTAGAATAAATCAAAATCCCAGACTAATGTTTATACAGTGTCTTGAGGGTGATGAGCCAGCAGCTGCATCGTGCTCTGACTTCAGCTAATGGTTGCTACAAAAGAAATAATTCAGCAAAGCAAACATCTTCAGGCATGACAGATCCCATTGCAGTGTGTCTGGAATACCTTTAGGCATCTCTTAAACTCTGTGTTTCTGAGATCACTGATGTGAGCTGAGTTGTCTCAACAGTGACTACAGGCAGCACGAATTTTGAGTTTGGTTTGGATTTAACTTTTGAGGGAGAAGGTGAAATAAATCAGCGTTAGAAGTACAATTGAGATGTTTAATGGTTGTTTTCTCCATCTTCTCCTTTGCAAGGCTTTAAGTCCAGCTTTGTTGTTTTGTATTCCATACCAGGAGATGCAGAGAAGTCAGGTAGCTGTAAGTGAGCTGAAAGGGGACATTTGGGAGGGCAGCTCTGTGCTGGGTTAACTCATGAGAGAGCTTGGGGAGCATTTTGTTGAGCTTAGTGCAGTGTTTTGTTTGAGCTGGTGCAGCTCTGGCCCGAGCTGGTCCCTGTGCATGATGCAGCCCTGCACTTAGCATGTGTTCTGGAGTGTTTGGAGCTTGAGGCTCTTCACCTGCACTCCTTTGAGGTGCTGCTTGTCACTGATATATAGAGAGAAATAAAGGTTACGTGGTCATGCTCATCGAGGTACGAAATAGAAGATGGCCCTCACCTTCTATAAAACACTTCTTTTTAAGTGCACTTAAAAATAGGTATTGCTGCTTGTTCTCATTTTTTTATAGGATGGTAATGGTAGTTTTTTTCCCTTTCCTTCTGCATTTAGGTCCGACTGGTGGTGATTGATGGGATTGCCTTCCCTTTCCGCCACGACTTCGAGGACCTGTCCCTGCGGACGAGGCTGTTGAATGGTCTGGCACAGCAGCTCATCATCGTAGCAAACGACCACAAAGCAGCAGTGAGTCCATTAAATCCCAAAAGATGCCGCTTTGGAATAAATTCCCTACAAAGAATTAAGCAAATGTGATTTGTGATGGTCTCTGAACAGCAAAATAAAGCTGCGAGAACGTCCTCCACGTTCGTTCTCGCCAGGTTTAGTTAGTAAATGGAGGTGGATCACACAGGAACAACACCTATGAGGTGGGAAATTCCTAGACTTGCAAAAATAAGTAAAATTTGCATTAACAGCATCCTGTGGATCTTCCTTCAATGGTAGCATGTCAGTTTGCCACACTGTTTCCCAGCACTGGTTGGACAAGGAATGCTCCTTTGGTGACTTTGCATGAAAACACGTCGGAGCATTCAGCAGTTCCAACCCAACTTTCCACTCTTGGTTTAAAAATAATCCCTGGTCTTAGTGGAGAAGCTGTTCTTAGGGAGGAAAACCATTTTATCTGCTGGTTTGCCTTGCTCCTCTGGCATCCATGGAAACCCAGGGCTTCCTTCCTGGGCATTGTTTCCACATCATTGACGCCAACATGGAGGCAGCGGCCCCGCAGCCAGCAGATGGCACTGGGAAGCTGCAGCTGTTCCAGAAGTTGTTTTGGAAGTCTCTCACAGCTCAGAGAAGCATTGTTCAGGAATTAGAGCTTCCACAGCCTCAAAATGGTGCTTGTGCCTCTCTGACGGTTTCCAGGTGATTTGTGACCTTGTCACCCACAACTCTCTGGCGCAATTGGCTTTTGTTCCCAGCGGCTAAAAATAAGCCTCTCCTTGTGCTTCCACTGATAGATGTGGGAAGGGGAAGAGCCCAGCTCCGTGTTCAGACTGGGCTGGCTGCCCTTGCTCTCTCCCTGGTGTGAGTGATGGAGCTTCTTCCTGCTGCTGTGGGTACCAGGGAGATGGATGTTCCTTGGCTGCTGGGTTTGCACAGCCCCTGATTTCTTGAGTCCTCTCACTCACAGCTTGGTACCTGGTGACCTTGAACAGCAGCAGCTGTCATTGGACACTTTATTTTTCTTTGGTCGAGGGAAACATATATAATTTATCTCTTCTGAACCAGGGAGCAGTTTAGTACAAAGGCTTGCTAAATAAACTCTTGCTAAAGGAGTGATCAGTCACAGCTTCAGGGTGACTTCAGTTGGTGCCTGGGTTAGTTCCATGAGCCTGTGAGCAGGCTAAATCCAGCCTGCGTGCCAGGGATTGCTTGCCAGGCAGCCTGGATGCTCTAATATGGTAGGAAGTCAGGCCCTTGTGTTTCTAAAGCTGGACTCAGTGGGCTGTGTGAGGATGCCCAGCCCAGCCCTTCTTCAGCAGTGAGCTGGGGAGCCTATTTGGGGCTGTTACCATCCACTTGTGATGAGTTACTTCTCTAAAATGTGCAATATATGTCCTGGGCTTTCAGCTGTGTAAATGTTTTGGGGTGTGCCCCGTGTGCTCAGTGGAAATGTTTGCTCTCACACACTTGCTCAAGCAAGAATCCTACAAGCTTCTCAAACAGTGAAACCCCCTGGGGGTTTAAGATAGGTACGATTTTTTTTATTTTTATTTTTCATTTTTAATGAACTTTGTGATTAATATTCCTGGCTCTTTTCTGTCTCACCCACCCCCACTTCTACCAGGGATCTAACCTAGACTGTCTGTGAGCCTCCCACGAGTGATTCGTGCTGCGAAAACACTCCCCCGCTCTGTCTGTTCACTTTCATTCTCTTTGTATATTGTACCCACTTGTGCATTTTTAGACTACAAGGCACAGAAATTTGGTTAATCACCGGGCTAATGTGTGTTTTGGGCAGCACCACCAAGTTCATTCACCCCCAGTGACTGAGAGCTCTCTCTTCATGGAGCGCCAGTGCATCTAAACACAGCTCCAAACAGTATTTAGGGCAAATGCAGTGGGATAAACAAGTTGTTTGGAGTTTGCATTCCTTGGGAGGGGAGAAATTTAGGTTTCTTCAAAGTCATGAATGAAAGAAATCTCCCTTCCATTCAAAAATGCATCTTGCAGGGTCCTCTTATTTTGTTTTGAAAACATGAGGTGCATCTACATTTTCTTCTTGTTAACACAGAAGATTCAGCACCATTGCCAAGAGTTTTGCCTGAGCAACTACTTTATCAGCAAAAGCTTTTTGAAAAATCCCTCTCTTCCCTCCCACCAATATGCTGGTTTCCTGGAGGTTTTCTTATTTGTTTTGCTTCTCTTTCCTCTTTTAGGTGGTTCTGACAAACCAAATGACAACAAGAATCGGGCAAAGCCAGTCCACGTTGGTACCTGCTCTAGGTGGGTGTTTAGCTTGTGAGTTGAAAGCTGATATGTGGTTTCCTTTCCTTTGGCATCATATACAAAGGAAATGAAATTGCTGCATCTCCACAGTGCAGCAGAAGCCATGGTGAAAATATCAGACCCATCTGGAACTGCTGGCATGGTGGAACTCTAGAGCAGTGCTGAGCTAGGGCAGCCTTGTGGTTGTAATTAAAAGTATCAGATTTTGTTCTGTTGCTGAGGGGTGGTGTGCAGATTAGACTCCTGGTTAGATTTGTGAAAAGAGATTATAAATATGCTTGAAAGTCATGACATTTTCAGATTGCAGAAACTCACGGGTTGAGAGCGTGGATGGACTTTTTTTTTCCTTTTTAACCCAAAATTTGTAATACTGAATTTGGTATTAGATTTAACAGTATTCCTTAAGATGACAGACCCTTTCTGGGGAAGCACTAGGAACTCAGAGCTCTCTGAGTAACTGGGTTTTTAGATGTGCAGCTAATGGATTGCACCTTCCCCTGAGGATCTTGTGGATTTACCTGTAACAGCTGAGGAGGGCACTGTCCCTCCTGGATGTCACCACCACACCCTGACCTGTTTGGGTGATTGTCTCCCAATCCATTTCTCCCAAAAGTGGCCAAGTAATCTTGAGCTGTTTCAATAATAAGTAAACTCTGATAAATCAATAATATAGTCTGAAATTGGCTGGTAAATGATCATCCAAAAAATGTGCCTGGGAGCAGTAAACCTCGAGCAGGGATGGGGTGATGAAGAGGTTAAAGCCCTCAAAGAAGAACTTTGCTTAATGGTTGCACACCTCAAACTACGCTGCAATTTGCTGAATTCCCTGAGAACCATTCGCTGCCTCTCCAAAACAATTTAAATTGTTTATTTTCCCATTACCCTTGAACACGTTCCATTAATTATTTGCAAAGGCATTTCATATTTGCTGCATCGCTGGAACTCTCTGCAGTTATGATGGAGAGGGAAGTTCTGTGTGGGATCCTCAGCCTGCCCAGAGCCAGTTTAAGTGGGTTTTTTTTCCAGGCTGCTCAATTTTGCCCAGTAATGAGCAGAGTACCTCATACAGACTCATCTGCTGCAGTCACAGGGGAAAAGAGAACAGTTCTGAAGCAGAGATTTCAACAAATTAAGGAAAAGTTCAGCGTTTAAATCTTATTTCAGGTTGTAACTTCGTATTATTTTATGATTCACTTAAAGGGCACAAATTCTCTGTGCACAGGTTCAGTTTCTGTGAGCTAAGTAATGATTCCCCTGTTCTGGAGGGGAGGGAGAAGGGGACAGTACAAAGGCAAAGATGTTCCCAGTGTCTGTACAGGCACTGAACCATTTGGCACAGTTGTAGGGTAAAATGAACAAACACAGACCATCTCCTCCAGGAATGTGAGGAATGTGGAATTTGGAGCTGTGATGGCAGACCCAGCTCCCAGGATCTGACCCTTTTTGTCAGTTTTGCCTCTTGCTCTCTGATGGATTATTTTTGGCAGCCTTTCTGGCTACAAACTCAATTAAAGCTAATAGAGCCTGTCTTTTTTCACTGGCCAGCATTGTTTGGGAGCTGTTGTGTTTGTTGAGTCATAGGGACAGTAAAGAATGTGAAGACATTCAGAGTTGGTTATAACTCAAAGATATCATGTATTTTTTCATTATAATTCAAAGATATCATGCATATTTTCTTTCACAAACATTTAATTTGGCATAACCTCACGTTGAACTGATTGTGATTCTCACCAGAGTGTGTGTGACCACACAATATCGTTAAACTGAGTGGTGTGTCCTCCTTCAAAAATTAAACTTTGTACCAGTTGGTAAAATATTTAAGCAGAGAGGAACCCCCCTCATTCTAAACAGCGATATCTCAACTGGAGCATTTCAGAGTGGTACAAAACTCTTTTCATTTTAATGTGAATTTATGCCACAGACTCGGTGCAAGTATTGGGCTGGTGGGTTATAAGGTGATTTTTGTGCCCCACTCTGAGGAGATGCTTTTTCAACAGTCTCATCATAAATCCTAAAGAACCTCCCACTCCTCCCCAGTTGGTTGTAGCCAAAGGAACTATTGAGGGAGGAGTCAGCACCAAGCCCCCAAGTAAAATTAATCAAACCTATTGCATCCCTTAAATAGCTTTTTTCCCCCCATTGATTGGTAAGCCTAAGAAACAGCTTTTTCTAAGATTTCATGAGAGCATTAATCTCTTAAGTGTTATTCAGCTCCTGAGCAGAAGGGAAGGTCTTAATTATGACAAAAGAAAAAAAAAGAAAGAAAAAAAGCACAGATGCTGCAAGGTATTAAGTCAAGAGCTTTGTGAAGGGGGCACCTTTCTTTCCCACTACTGATAGCTAAGCTGGGTGTTCCTAGACATTTCTGCTAGATATATTTAGAAAGGAGGTCAAATATTAATCTGCAGCCAGTTTAGCTCAGAAATATCTCATTTTACAGTAGCATTTTTCAATCCAGTTGGAAACGTGCCGGTGTGGAATTTGTACCCATTGTAAAATGTGTTCTGAGCTCTGACTCGGAACCGTGTCTGAAAGCCAAAATCTTTAATCTCAGCTTAGATATACAGTGGAGCAGGGTCTGGCAAGATGCCCAGAGGGTCTAGGTCTTCATTACAGCAGAATCATATTTTTTCTTCTCTGGGCTCTAATGAATATCAGAGCACAGGGGGCACGTGGGGCTGGAGATGTGGTTGGAGAGCAGGGAGTGATTCCAGGGGCTGTGGGCAGGGGAGCAGGAGAGAGACCTGGAGCACTTAAGCAAAATGACTGGTTTAAAATCCATCTTTTGACTGTCTCCTGGGACAAACAGACATAAAACTGTCTGTGCATTGACTGAGCTTGTGGTCAGGTGTGAGCTGAAACAGTAGGACTGTTCCCCTGAAGCAGGATAACAACCCAGACTTCCTTCTCTCCTTCCACCACGCCCCCCCTGCTCCTTGCTTTTGGTTGTGTTCTTTTGCATTTTGCTGTCAGAAGCAGAAGACTGCTTCAGGGGCCCTTAATATTTTAATAATCATTGACTTTCTCCCAAAGCTGGTATCCCAAAGGGAGTGATGTTTGCTCATAATTATGCCTGAGAGACAGAATACTGCAGTTTTGAAGTAGGATTTAGACATACTCACTCGACTTCTTTAGTAGTAATTAGACAAATCTTTTCTTCATGCTGCCTGTTTTCAGGATTTGTCTAGTACCTGTCCTTTATTTGGCACCTATAAAATCTTTCTACAAATATGGGAGCATCACACCAAGATTCCTGTAAAACACACTGAGTACAGAGGTTATTCCTTGTCTTGGTGTATTAGTTGTGAAATCCTTGTACGTATGAAAAAGATGTGATTCATCACTGCAAGTAAAAGCACATATGTTTTAATCATGGTGGGGTTTTTTTTTTGGAAGACTTGGTCTAATTTCAGCATCAGATGGTGCTGCTGGTGTAGGAGATTACTAAAATGGCCTGTCATTTTGTGTCACTCAGGAGAAAGCTGGGGACACGCCGCCACCGTCCGTTTAATCTTTCACTGGGACAACAGTCAGAGGTAAGTGAAAATCAGAACAGAAATCATAATAATGACAAGTGTGACACTGGGGAATCTTCTTAGACTGACCATAGCAGCCAAGCTGGGATTTGAATTTGGTTTCTGGCCTCAGCCTACTGAGGCTTAAGAGTTTTCTTGCTCAGGCTGAGCCAGAGTGGGCTGAACTGTCAGGCTCCTCCTCCCCTCCACAGGTCACCTTTCTGACCAGATGCCACCTCTCATCAAAATATAACATCCTGATGGCTGTTGTTCAGACACGAGGATTTAGGGTCTGGTGGCTGAGTAGACATTTTTTTTGTTACTCTCTGCATTCTGTAAGCAGGGAAGAGAATTTCTTTGCCTGGGTGTTTTAGGCCCCAGTCAGTACAAAGCCAGGGATGCCAAAGAAGGCTTTAAAGCCACCAAGATAGTGACCCTCAGGAAGGTGGGCTGTAGCCTCAGGGACAGCCTCTGGACCCTTCTGCTTTGGGATGCAAAGCTGGACAGAAACCAGAGACCAAGTTCCAGTGACCTGCAGAGAGGCAGAAAGAGCTGCACTGACAGGCAAGGCAGGGCTGAGCTGTGGAGGGTGGGTTTAGACACCCAAAAGAATGAGGGTGACCCTTCTAAAAACTGTGTGAAGTTCTGTCTGTTGCAGTGAGATCTTCCCTGTTTCCTGCTTCTTTTTTCTCCTCTTCACTACATTGCAAGGTCATTTCTCTTTCCTGGTCAGTTAAATTTGTCTTGTGTATACTATCACCGTGCAGCAGCTTGAGATTAAGGAGCTGTGCTTCAATTCCCTAATCTTCTGCAAACAGGGAACAAAAATGCTGCTGGAATGTTGTTGTGCATAGTTTTTGCTTGTTGAATTTGAAAGAGAAATGCAGTGACACTTTCTTGTGGGGTTTTGTTTTTAAATTCTAAGTTTGAAGGCAATGCAGAGTGATTACAGCAAGCTGTTTAATTTGGAATTAAATTAACATCGCTGATTAGTTAACAGCCTTTATAAGACAGAAGTTGCATCAACATAATGATTGCAGAGTGAACAAAAGTTAATTTTATATATCAAAAGAACTTTTTTCTTCTGCAACAGAGCTAGGAAGTCTGCAGATACAAGTTCCAGAAAATAAGCCAAAGACAGGCAAACGTGGCTTATTTAATGATCTAAATCTGCAGTTTATGTGGAGCAGGGCCTGCAGAAACAGCAATTCTGGTTACAAATGCCTCTGTAAAAAGCAGAAATAACTCAATGCTGTTGCATTTTTACATAAACTGCCTCATGATCCATCGTAGTTTTGTTGTTAAATTGTTTTTATATTACATTGTCGAGGCACGAAGACCATTTGAGAATCCATTTGCCTTTTTTTATTTTTTTTTTAATTTTTCAAATGTGCTTTGGCCAACTCTGATCCCTGATTCCTTTCTCTCTACTACTGCAAATGTCAGAGCTTAATTCCAAGGGTTCTCATTGCTGGGAGGAAAGATCCTGTTGAGTCAGAGGCTCCAGCTGAGCGCTTGTGAAAGCGTGGCTTCTGCAGCTTCAGATTTGGGCAATTTTGTCAAGTGTAACCCACCACTTCAATGTTCTGAGGAATTCCCTGTGTAGCTACCATGAAGTGGCAGCGTTCCTCAGGCTGTAATTACGTGCTCTCTAATAGAATGGCACCTCAGGGAGGAAAAAAAAAAAACCCCAAAATAATTAACGGGATTTTTGGCAGGGTGTCTTGATACAGAGAGCAGAACATTTCCTAGGTTGGCTTGTGTAAGTTTTGGGGAGGTGGGCATGGAGCAGACTGGCAGCCCTGGCACTGGTTCAAAAACCTTTTGCTTTTGAGCTGCTTTGCAATTTTCTATCAATATTATGCAAGCATTTACTGAGCTGTACAACACAAATCAAAGGGTATTGCTTAGAGCCTAAATGCCCAAAATCAGGGAAGTGTCAGAGGAGAAATGAAAGGGAAACTGTTTTCTCAAGGTTATGCTGTATGTCAGTGGCAAGGGCAGGCTTAGAAATAGAACATCATCTTCTCCAGCCTCTAGGTTATATTGACAGGCTTATGAAATCTCTGGAAAAAGCCTCCCTGGAAGTACTGAAATTCTTGAGGGTCTCCCCCAGCTTAAGAGAGGTCAGTGAACAAATGATTAATGGAGTAGGAAGGAGTTGTGCTCAAAAACCTTTTTTGTTTGCATTTTAAGAAAGCTACATTAGGAATTAATTCATAATGAATATTGTTCCAGAAATGTCATCAAATACTGTGATGAAACAAGGCTAATTAATCATTCACTCCTTTTAGTAGGTCTACATTGTGTGTGAGCTGACAGGTCATGTAAGGATGGGAATTTGGCATCCACAGTTTAAATGACCTATATGAAAATACATACCTAAGAATCCCACTGGTACCTACCCCAGGATTGTGGGAAAACTTGGCTCCAGTCATTGGGTTAGTTGGAATTTTTATTACTGTATTCACTAATCATAATTTACCTGCTTTTTTTTGTTTTACCAGATTGGCAACTTTGTACAAATCACCGAGTCAGAAGGAGGCAACAATCCCCTATCACATCACAGTCAGTATTGCTTTTGGGGTGGAGAGTCAGAGAGGGGAGCACAGTGGCAGCTGTAAAGGGACTTTCAGACACAGAGATAAATCTGAGAACAATGTTTGCTTGTTTGTAGGGTTGCCTTCTGAAGGTAACCAGTAATACTGGAATGTCTCCAGATTTATGAGTGTTTTGCACCTCTTCTCTTTAGAAAAGTGACCCAGCAGTTAGTCCCCTGAGTTAAAACATTTTGATTTCCAGATCAAACTTACAGGCAGCCTGTCCCCATCTGCTCTGCTGCTAGTGCTGCTTATTTTATCTGCCCTTGATGTTAACTTGTGGCCTAAGTGCAGTTAGTGAGGAGAATGGGAGCCTTCATTTGGGAGACTTGAACCAGCCAGGCTGTTTTCTCCCTTCTCAGGTAGGCTCTTCTCTTAATCTCTTGCACTTGGGTTTATCTTTTTAGGACCAGGATGACCAGAACTATTCCAGAGGTCTCACCAGTGCCATATAGATTTCCCCATCTCTGCTTTATGTGTGTTGCCTGATATAACCCAGGCTGTATTTCTCTCTTTCATGGCTCCATCCTACAGTGACCCTACACCCAGCCAATATATACAGATTTTTCTCCTCTGTCACTATCATATAAGGAGCTTCCAGCTTATGGCTGGAGACCTCATTCACCCCTAGTTAAATCCTGTGATTATTTCCTTTTGTGGAATGCTTAGATACATATTAATGAGAATACATGCTGTCTAAGCTGTATTTAGGTTTAAAAAAACCCTCACCACTCCACTCTTACATCTTCAAATGTCAGATCCATAGGTACATGCCATAACTATTTGCTACGTGTCCTCATGGAAACACGTTGCCATAGCATTTCCTGCAGATTTTAATGCTGCCATAAGATGAGATCTTCAAACTTTCCAAGAGAAATCAGATTTTTCTTCACTCCTGGGTGTATTCACCTGGACAGGAGAATACACTGCAAATATATACTCTTAGCTCTGTAAAGACTGGAAGGGTAAGTGGGGCTACATCCCAAGGTTGTTTGGATCATGTGATGTGAGTCCTTTTTCTCCAGCTGACAAACAGATGGATTTTATCTTAGACAGTTTAATTGCCTTTTCCTTTTAGTTTTATATGCACCATAAAACAGCTATGCTCTCTTCTGTGTGAATGCACACAGGCTTGAAATACGGTTGAGAGTGAATCCCAATCAAAGATTAGTTAAAACTTCAGATTATCCCTGTGTTTTTCCCCTTAATCCTGATGAACTGCTTCAGCAGATGATTCCTTTAAGTAAAAAATGTATTATCCCTGTTTTTTTCATGAAATTCAGGGCTGATGATAGCAGTCTGCTGTTATCATTTCTCATTCCCATCTCTGTGGTTAAACTGGAAGACGTAAATAGATGTGCACTGTTTCCAAGTCAGATTTAGCACATCTATGTATAACCAGCATACAAAAAAAAAAGATAATTAAAGAAATAATAAATTCCTTAAGCCTCAGAAATGTTTAGACTTGGGCAAATGAGGTACCACTGACAAACTGGCTGTTCAGGGCCTGTAAGGCAATGGAGAAATGTTTAACCATGGCCAGGCTTTGGTTCTTTTTTATCCGTGTCCTTTCCAACCCTCTGGAGAGTCAGTCACCACTCTGGGGGCTGTGGAACACCTCTCCCATGAAATCCTTTCTTTCACAGGCTGATCAGGATTCATTCTTAAATGCAGAGTATAGAAATGTAAATTGATTTATGCACAAGGGAGTCAGTGGCTCCGCTGATTCACCTAAATTTCCCAGGAATGTGACCTGATTATTTCATGGTGAAAGATAGAGACCCGGGACCTCTATTCCGGGCAGGAACTGTCAGTGTTTCCCTGAACTGAGGAGGGTCTGCCAAGTTAGCAATGGGAACACTGCTCAAGTAATAAAGCCATCTACCTCTGCCAGCCTTGCTGCAGTGTGTAGATGCCAGAGGACATTAGGGAACAATTCAAAATGACAGGAGACTGAGCTTTGTCCTTGGTTCCAGTAGCCACCTCCCCACCATCTAAAACCCACTAGCAAGCCTCAAAAATATACACAAAATTCATGTATTTTCGAGGGTGCATGCCTGTAACCAGTGTGCCAGACATCCATACTAGGCAGCCCACTTTATCATGTTCTGGCCTTTATAACCATTGGAATGCTTTTGCTGGGAGTCAGCCTGCTGGATTAAGTGGATTCTTGGCTACAGATCCACCTTTGTGCCTCAGGGAAATGGCAGAGATTAGATGCAAGCAGCAGTGAAACATTAAACTTGAAGATTCCCCATCAGGCTCTTTAGAATAACACTTGAGTTGCTTATAATAGCAGAGGGACTGCACAGATCCTGCCCTTGTGGCACCTCTTGCTGTTTGTTCCTTTAAAAGCCCCGGGCTGGGTGAGGTGAGGCATTCAGAAATAGAAATACAGGGATGGCAGACGTAAGCAAGACGTTTTACTTGGGTTTGGGATTGATCGTGGTGTGGGACAGGCTGGCATTTTGGAGGAGTCACATGTCTGATAGTAATTCCACCTGCTTTTTTCACACTGCACCAACCCAAAATGTCAGCGTTCCTGAAGTGCTCCTGTCCCCACCTGAGCATTTTGGATCACCAGAGAGATTTTCTTTTCTGATTGACCCCTTTTCCTCTCTAAGTCTGCACTGAGAGTGTCCCCTATGCTCCCTGCATTTGTCTGGAGATGGGAAGACAGACAGTTGCAGGTTTTCATAACGTCTCAGTATCTCCATCTGCATCCGTGACGTGTTGAACTAACTGATTTTCCAGACCTTTCTTATTTTAAAATAGTTAAAAACCATTAAATTGTGGAGCTGAAGTAAAAGAAAATACAAATTGTACTAGGTCAGATAGATCACTTCAAGCACTCTCCTGAGTAGCAGCATCTAGCTTTTCACTTCTGCATTTAGTTTTTGGCAGTTAAAGGTTTTCATCCCGTTGTGTCCCATAAATTACTATGCTGGAACAGTCTTTGCAGTCTACAGACTGATTCAGCTCTGCTGTTCTCTTACGTCTCATTGATGTTTTCAGTTCATTAAGTAGGTACATGGAACAAAAATATCCTAGGTTGTAGAAATTCACAGTTTTGTTTCTGAAAACGACAGAGGCAATTAATCCAGTCATCTCCCTCCTTCTGGGGGAGCTGATGGATTTGTCTTTTAATTTATTTAAATAGGCAACATAAGTGAATTTACAGAGAAGCAGTTCTTCATAGCCATAGGGGTGATTAGTAGCAAAATGAAAATGATAGCCTGGTTGGTGAAAATAAAATATCTTCAATGAAGAAAATGAGGAGACACAGTTAATAGTCGGCACGTGTGTTGAAAAGTTTGCAGTGCTGGTCTATAAACCTTCTGTGGCCGCTCATCTAAAACAAATGGCAGCCTCCTCCCTTATCCTGGTCTTCTGGGGACTAGTTGCTCATGCTTTATATCCATGCAAGCTTTAGCACATGATTTCCCTTGCATCTTCCAGCCTCATGGCTTCCGAGATGTGCAGCCTCCAGCTGTCACTCAGAACGCAGAAGGCACTGAAATGAACCCTCGGAAGCGGCCGCGGAGGGAGGAGGAGAAGCAGCAGCAATTCCAAAGTTGAATGTTAAAAAATGTGAGCTACAGGAGAGCAGTTGCACGGTGAATGTGCAACCAAAGGCAGCCTGAGAGACTCTCAACTTCAATTCCTGCTCTGGGTGTTATTTTAAGGTTAAGACTGCAATATGCAAATTTCTGAGGCAGAAGATTCCTTTGTGTGTGGTATAATTTTACTTTTATAATAAAAATCTATGTTTTCTATTACAAGGGACTTCAGGGTTTTTTTTTTGGTTTGGGGTTTGTGTTTTTTTGGTTGGTTGGTTGGTTGGTTTGGGGGATCTTTTGAGGAGGATGGAGAATCCAGCTACTTTTAAACTGGGTAAAAGCACAATGAAATGAGTGCATCTAGTACAGCACATTGAATGACACGGGTCTGGATCACTCATCTGGCTTTTTGTGCACCCGAATTTTAAGGGGGTTGGATGCAGCACTGTGCTCACCACCTGCTCAGAGCAGGGCAGGAGGCAGTGGAGCTGCTCATGGGGGCTGCAAGAGGAATGCAGCCTTCACCAGAGTGGGGCTTTAGCCCTTACCTGCTGCAAAGTCCTTGATCAAGGACAATCAAAGCTCTGTTTTGAACTTCTCCTTTATCTTGTGGTGACAACAACAACAGAGAGGAAAGGCTGGAGCTGAAGGACAAAAGATTTAATCCAGCACGGTAATTTTGTGTTCCCATCTTAGTAAGTAAGAATACTTTGCCATTGCTCAGGCTCGAGCCAAAGTGCTGCACAGCTCTTATTCCCAAGTTCTTACTTTCAGGCTGAGATGCTGTAATCAGGATCTCTTTTGTCTGTGGCTTTAATAAAGAGGAAACCCAGACTTCTTAGACACCAGCCATATATTAGCAGCTCCAGACTCTAAACCAAAAGAATGAATGTACACTGGAAACACAGCAGGGTTTTGTCCTCTTTTTATTAAGAGAAAACAAATCGATGAGATTATTAGATGAGAAGCAAGGTGCTGCAGTGCAAAATAGTAATTACTTCAATTATGAGAAGTGTTGGTACACATGCACACAGATGACCCCTTTCTGGCAGAGAGCTTGATAACGTTAGAGCTGAGGAAACTCAGCCAGCAGCTAAATGAAGAATTCAAGTTGTGGGAGTCACTATCTTGAATTTTTAATCTAGTATACACTAAACTGACTTTGCCTTGAAACAAAATTCAGTGCTGAATCTGAGTCATAAAAACTCTCTATTCAAAAAAAAAAAAAAGCTGCAAAAAAAATAATAAAAAAGAGGCAGTGGTTTTTGGATCATTGTAGTGTTTAGATATAAATTACATAATGAAATATTAAAAGGGAAAGTATTCAGTTGCCATGCAGCAAAACTGGGCTGTGTCAAAATTTAAAAAACTGTGAGTCAGGGAGAAGCTCTGAAGCAAGCAGCATGACATAGGGGAAGGGAGGCAGCGGGATTGGTGACTCAGACAAACATTTCAACGCAGGAGACACGGGCAAACAAAAGGATCCTACCGCATGTGATGTCAGCAGGCAAACGCTCCGTTTGGGAATAAAAGCTTCCTACGTATTGCAGTGCAGGAGGAGGGGGGGAGCTGGCACCGGGCACATGCCTACGTAGCCACAAGGAGAACCAGCCATTAGGAACGTTGTAGCAATATTTTAAGAAGCACTCCTGGTTCCCAGTGATAGCTGCTCTCCAACGTGGTTGATATTTATGGAAAAAAAGCCGTTTCCCTCCACGTATTGTGCTGGGAATTAATATCCTCCACACGTCCTTCCATGTGTGAGGAGAGTAACGGCGTGTCTCTCGTACACTATTAATTTCAGCTGACTGTGGTTTTTAATTTTGTTTGTAGTAGAGCAGCATCCAGAAGCCCCAGCTGAGATGCTGATCCTGTTATAACAAGATAAATCGTCGTGGCTGAGTAAATGTTAGATCTCCCAGTATTCCGGGCGTCGTTATCCAAATGAAAAAGAGGCACAGTTACTGGTTAACAGTGGGAGTTACAAAATGTCCAGAGGAAACATTGGAGGCTCTCAATGCTGTGATTTTTTTAATTTTTCTCTCTTTTTTTTTTTTTCATATTGAAGCTATTATAAAAATCAGCTCTGCAGACCAGAACTAGGGAGAAGGATCTGTTGGCGGAGACAAAATTAGATTAAATGAGCCAGATTTCATTCTCATCTGCTGGAGACAAGGAAGCTGTTCCAGGCTTAGAATTGCATATAAAGAAAAAATTTGACCATAGCCTCACCAATAAATCTTCCATGGCCAGTTGATTTTTTTTCCACCTGTGCCTGGAATTCTCTTGCATGCCACAGCATCAGTGCACAACAGCAAGGGGCAGGAGAGAATTTTATTACTGCACAAAAAGTAAGATTCTAAGTAGCCAACCTCATGGCACCGAATCAAAAAGAAAATGGGTTGTTTGATTTGCTGCTTAAGTCCCAGTTTTCTGAAAGCCAAGAGCTTTAGCTATCATGCTGAGTTTGAAATTATTCCATTTTATAGGGACGACATTCAGTTGTGGTGTAGGAACCTACTGTGTCACCACAACAAGAATACAAATCCTACCACAGGCCTTGGCAACAGGCAAGCACTGTGGTCACAGGGTGGTTCTCCTCAAGCTCAGAGTCCTGCTTTGAATCTCTTTAGTTTGGACAGGGAAAATAACAATTTATTTACTCCTGGTTTTATGTGTTCAGCACCTTTTCCATTATGAAACACTGAGAAACCAACGAGCTTCTAAGTAGAATAAATCTATGAAAATATGGAGAAGGAATGGCTTAGCTGGGGGTATGAAGGTGTAGCCAAGGTTCAAATTAGCCAATTAGTCTCATATTGAAGCAAATCACAAACTGGTTGAGTCATATGGAGGAAGATTCAGCCATGAACCTGAGTGTTGAATACAGAGCTGAGAAAAGTACATTTAAAATATAACAAGTTTCCTATTGAATTTCAGTTGCTGTTCCTTCCGTTATTTTGGGGGGACTAATCCTTGAATCAGATTTATTCTAAGGTATCTCATGGATTAAGAACAAAGGTGAAATCCTTCCTGCCTGCCTTTTGAACTCCACCCTTTTCCTGAACAAAAGAAAATAAAAAAGTTGGAAGGAGGAGTCATTGTGCTCCAGCTTCTTGGAAGAGATTGTCCTTACCACCCTTGGGATCATAATTATTTAGAAAGGCACATTAAGATGTATTATGCTGTTTTAGCACATGCTAATTCTTTATGAAATATATGTGATTAAGTTTTGAAGTGTGGCTTGATGATTTCTTGTCCTAAGACAGAGTACCTTGAGGGAAATGGAACAAATAGAGCGCTCACATCACAGAACAGAAATATTCCAGCGGAGCACATAAGGGAAATAATAGCAGGGAGGTCAGCTCGTGATTCCCAGCACAGTTCAGGCACAAGGGCCCTGCTAAGGATCCTGGCTGCAGGGGAATGCAGGGCTGGCAGTGCCCTAGGGCAGCCTGCCCAGCCCTCCTCCGCACCAGTCCCCTTGGCTCCAGGAGCCGGTGCCAGCTGCTACCTGCTCCCGGGCTTCCCCTCTCCCTGGCTCCCCAGGCTGTGGACTCCATGTCTTGTGGCTCCCAGCCATGGACTCATTTGGGATGATTAGGGTCAGGGGAGTTGGCTTCCCTTGGCTGGAGCAAGATTCCTGCATTAATGTTCTAGGCTGAAGAATGAAATCACCGGGAACTGGCCCCCTTCCCAGTACTGAATTTCACCCACAAATGCACCCACTGTTAAACTGTCAGCTCCTGTCTTGCTTCCCACAGGCGAGAAATATTCCTACAATATCCACTATCTAGTCCAGAGTCTAAGCTCGACAGAGTTTTAACTATAGAAGATAATAAATGGTATTAAAAGCAATAGTTCAATCATTACACAAGCAGTAAAAGTGCTAGATTATATGTCAAAAGAATGCATAGAAAAGTATGTGTTTTACTAAGTCATTCTTCAAGAATTATAGAAAATACTGGTTATTTTATTGCAAGAATTACTTGCCATTGATTTAAGTGGCGCCAAAGAAGCATCAGGATATTAAAAATAAATAAATAAATAATCACAGTTTGGTTTCAAACAATGAGAAGGGGGAACATTCAAAATATTCAGTATCTAGTAACATATATAGGAAAGTCAAAAAGCAACTCTGCAGACCTCAATAAATGGTTCTAATTGGATCTGGATGCTTTTCTCAAAGCCAAAAAATATGCAGTTCGAATACTTGCCCAGTTTGGTATCTCACATTGCATTCTTTTGGAGGTTTACATTTCTGACACGTTTACTTCTAATACTCTAATTTATTTAGTGTGAACCGCTGCAGTTTTAGCAACACAGTTACAACTACACTTAGTAATTCCTTTTTGTATCATATATGTTGCTAAAATAAAACGTTTTGGACTACAGAACAAGTTGTCTCCTTAGCAGGGAAATGATGCCTATACAGTGTAGCATGGGAATATGAGATTGTAACACCTTTTTTTTTTCACTATAAAATCTTACCACACGTTGGATGTTATGGAATACATCACATGAACAGATCTCTTAAAGTTATTCATTCATTAATTTGTAAAATTAACACAAATTTCTGTGGCTAAATCATAGGATTTGAGACTGTTGAAAGAAGTTAGAATCAGCTGCATGCATTCTTTAAAACCTGGGAGTCCTATTTTATCTGTACTCTTAGAGCACATAAATTGCAAAAATAATGCCCAGAGCCTGGACACAGCAGTGGTTGGTTTCTGGTACTCATAGAAGTGGCTGATTTTTAATTTTTAATCTTTTTTTAAGGACATGTTTCTAAGCAAGTGACTGCAAAATTTAAGGTCTTGTGACTGGAGCAGGGTATCACAGAACCAGGAATCTAATCTGCAGCAAGATGGTGAACAAGTCATTCAAAGCAAGACTGTGGAAGAACCAATAAATTTTTTTGTTTTAAATTCCACCAGGCACCTGCCTTACACTTTGCTCTCATTTTAGGATGAACTTCACCCTCCAGCCCAAAGGGACAGAATATGCACACACTGAAAGAGAATATCAATGGGATTTAAATCCATAACAGAAAACAAGGGGTGGGTGTGTGGGTGTTATACCTGCTCTGAGAGTGTTCCACACCTCTTCAGTCACTTTGAAGTCAGCTTTTCAGTACTTCTTTCTTCCATGTACTTTTCCAACAGATTTCCAGATCTCAATAAATATGCATGGACTGATATCCTGCTCCTCACTGTTGCTGTTCAAAGCACCCCCTTCCCTAAGCAGGGGGCTGAATGGAAGACTGAAAATGGAATTTTCCTTTGGAATAGCACCGGAAATTTCCATGACAGCTGGAAGTGGGATTCAGGCCTGAAATCCTGTGTTTTGCAATGGAGGGGGATATTTCAGAATAATCTTTGACTATTAATCTGGAAAAGCTGACTTGACCTCAAAAAACTTAAAAAAAAAATGTCAAGAGAAAGAAGGAGAGAGAAGGACTTTGTGTTTAGGAACCCCCCAGTACAGTGCTTGTTATGGCAAAGGAGCCAGTAAAACTGTGGTGACAGAAGTTACTCAGCTTTTTAAAGCTGCAGTAGAACAGACTGAGACTAAGAAAATTAACTGGAGCTTGATGCAGCTTGTCAGCAAGAGCCTTCTTGCTGCATTCCTTCTAAATTCTTGCTGTCTTTAGTCTTAAACCGCTGGAATTATTAAAACAGAATATAGCTTCTAAAATTAATTCAGCTTTACTGCAAAAGCCCTACTTTTTAAAGAGATCACTTTATAGAGGTATTTACCCATTTACCATTGGGTTTTCCCATTAAACTCTTTTGTCTGGTATCAGAACATATATCACAGATATATTAAGTATTGTCAAAGCATTCTTAATGTCCCTACATGTTTTCTCTTTGTCAGGTTACAAACATTTCAAAAGCACTTCTTTTTGCCCTCCATACAATTCAGGTCACCTCCCCAAGGCCTGTTCAAATCCTGCTTATTTCTCCCCAGTAAAAGAGAAAGAGGAAGGCATTGTTTAAAGGCTAAGATAAAACATATTTCTTCTAGAACAATACTGTAAAACCTCCTTTAAAAAAAAAAAAGCAACATGATTAAGCTGGAAAGGACACAAACACCTGTGTTTCCTTTCTCAAGTCAGGTGCAAGCCTCATCCTCTGTTTGACAGAGTGCTGCAATGATCTCAGACATAAAATGTTATGAATTGTGAGTTTATTCCACGCACCCCACCTCATCCCACAGGAGCCATTCATCCTGCTGCTATCCAAGGATCCAGAGTGTACCCAGGCATTCTAAATTTAGCTCCCAGAGTTACTGAGCACCACAAACATTTCCTAACAGCACCCAGCACACCTCTCAGAGATCAGGGTGTTACTGGAGAGTACATTGTGCTTGGAGCTTCCCTGCCTGGCAGCAGTGGGGAGCAGTGGGGCTGCCTCCTGTGGGAATTGCCCACCCCACTGGCTCTCCAAGGAGCGGGTTCCTGCCTGCCTGGCTGAGCCACACCACCCACAGCGACCGTATGTTCCACCTCCCAGGTTAATGGGGATGGTTTTCCACCTTTCCCTCCCAGAAACAAATGTCAGCATGGCTTGGAGCCACGAGCTCTTTGTGTAATATGGAAGCAAAATAATCCCGACTTGACCGCGGTGCCAAAAGTTGACAAAGTATCCTGAGCACGAAGTTCTACTCTATTTCTTTTTAATTAGTGTCTTTTGCAACGAGACAAATGATGAAAAGCACATGGGGACTGCCAAGATGAATCAAGGACATCTGGTAACTTTAACATTTCAACATGAAACAGAGTAGGTATTACTTGCAGATACTCTTATGTGCTGTTCGAAACAAGTAAAAAAAAAAATATAAAATTAACAAAAATTTAAAGAAAAAGACTGTCTAAATGCTTTTGAATCTTTTCTTGGATAGCCTTAATTGCTGTTTGTCAGATAACATGAAGCTGATCTTCTTGAATTAGCTGTTACTTCCCTAAGACATGGTTATAATGGGAATTTTTAGAATTCAGATCATATTACACTAAGATTATCTGGATTACAGTTTCTTAGAAACTCCAACTGCCTCTGAATTCCTAGTGAAAAACAACTAATCATGAAGTTAAAGCTGCTTTTTGATACTTGCACTGATATGCATCCTCTCGGGGCTTGTGACTCACTGATGATGCAGTACACACAAACCTGAAAAAATAAAAACAAAACCCAGCAATGACATCATCAGCTGCCACTGGGACTTATCTGCTCTAAAAGAACTGCAATGTTTCCTCCCTCCAAAAACCCACCTGGCATTCCTAAATAAATGAGTGCTAAATTGAAACTATAGAAATGGTATACTGCAAAATATTACTTAGACATATTCTTTCCAGAGAAGAGATGTGATTTTCTGTCACCGTTGGCTGTGAAAGACTGAGACTAACTGTGACAATCACATTTTTAACTCTCAGGGCTTTTACATATTCACAGGATTGCAATATGATCAGTCAATGCAGTTGCCGGAAATATTCTAAAATTAGTTTGGCTCTAAAATAATTCACCAAACAGAAGACAGATTTACAGGAGCACCTGACATGCAGAGGTAATTACTACAATGCAAGGAACAACAGGTTTCAGCAAGATACTGTCCTTGTTACAAGCCATAAAAATTTGAGAATATTTTTGCATACGAGGCTTGTGATTTGGCCATTTTTCAAGGTATATCTGACATTAAGGATATCGTTCCCTCCCCTGTGTACAAGTTATTTTAAATGTGTGGAAATTATACCTGTTCATTATTGGTATTTATGGACCTGATAGCTCTGAAAATGGCTTTTCAGCAGCAATGAATAAAACAAGCCAAAATGCCTTCTGCAAATGAAAGACATTTATTAGACAGCAGGAGAACATCAGCTGCAGTTTGTCTCCCACTGACTGGTTGTCTTTTAAGTTTCATTTGGTCCAACATCTTCAGCTGCTCATGAGCTCTCCTTTGCCAGAAGGGGAATATGAATATGTAGATATGGTGTAATGTGTCACTTATCACAGAATCATGGAATGGTTTGGGTTGAAAGGGACCTTAAATATCATCTTGTTCCAACTCCCTGCCATGGGCAGGGACACCTTCCACTAGATCAGGTTACTCCAAGCTCTGTCTGATGTGGCCTTGAACACTTCCAGGGATGGGGCAGCCACAGCTTCACTGGGCAACTGTGCCAGGGCCTCCCCACCCTCCCAGGGAAGAATTCCTTCCCAATATCCCACCTAACACTGCCTGCCCTCTGGCAGTGGGAAGCCATTCCCCCTTGTACTGTCACTCCATGCCCTTGTCCAAAGTCCCTCTCCAGCTCTCTTGGAGCCTCTTTAGGCCCTGGAAGGAGCTCTAAGGTCTCCCCAGAGCCTTCTCTCCTCCAGGTGAACACCCCCAGCTCTCCCAGCCCTTCCTCACAGGAGGGGTGTCCCATCCCTCTGAGCATCTTGGTGGCTTCCTCTGGTCTCACTCCAACTTTATGACTATTCATGGCTATTCATATGCCCATCTTGAATGGAATTTTAGACAAGTTTTGTTGCTAAGTGTTGGAAGTGAAGTAAAACAACCCCAGGCTGCCCTTCCCAGGGGTTTGGGGGGACGGGGAGGGCTGAGGGGCTGGGGTTTGGGGGCCTCACCACCGTGGGTGTGGGAGTGCGGGTCAGGCCCCACGCGACAGGCTGGAGGGGACGTTCCTGCTTAAATACCCCATTTTTAATCATAAAATCATAGAATGGTTTGAGTTGGAAGGGACCTTGAAGATCATCTGGTTCCAACCCCCCTGCCATGGGCAGAGACACCTTCCCCTATCCCAGGTTGCTCCAAGCCCCGTCCAACCTGGCCTGGACACTTCCAGGGATGGGGCAGCCACAGCTTCCCTGGGCAACCTGTCCCGGGGCCTCATCACCCTCACAGGGAAGAATTTTTTCCCAATATCCCATCTAAATCTGCTCTCTTTCAATGGCCAGTTCCCCTCACGCAAAGCTCCGGTGTCAAACCGCCCCCAGAAGGCGCGCCCGCCCGGGTCGGAGGCTCGGCAGGGACATGCTCCGTCCCCACACCGCGGACCACGCCCCGGCCCCCCCCTCCGAGCCCCGCTCACCCTCCGGGAGCCGCGGCGGCGCCGGCGGCGGCGGAAGCTTCAGGGAAGCCCTGAAGGAGGCAGGGGGATTAGGTAACAGGCGATGTGCGCTCAGGTTTCCTCCGGGTTCCTGTGAGGAACCTACGCGTCTGGCTGCCTTCGCATGACTCATCACAGCGGCGCGGCTCTCGCAGCTCCCGCTCCCCCCCTTCCCCGTCACCGCCGCGGCCGAGCGCGCCCCCCTGCGGGCGCCGCCGGAGCGCCCGGCCCCCTCAGCGCCGCGCGCTCCCCGCACGCGAGGGCGCGTCCCCTTCAGCCCCCCGCCCGCCCCAACCCCCGGGCGTGCGCGGCCCGCGGGCCCGGCTCGGGAGCGCGGCGCGGCGGCGGGCGGGAGCGGGAGGAGGGAGGCGTGGCGGGCAGGGAGCAGGGAAGCTTCTCTGGGGGCGGGCGCGAGTGCTGATCCGCCGGCGGGCGGCGGAATGCGAAGCGATGGCCGGGCGGCTCGGGCAGCGGCGCGGCGGCGGCAGCGCGGAGGAGAAGACCTATCCGCCGCTTTCTCGAGGCTGTTTGGAGAGTTCCGCGGCCCTTCGGCGGGCAGGACAAGCGGAGGCCCGAGCGGAGCGGAGCAGGAGCCCCCGCCGGCCCGGCCCCCCTTTGTCCCGCCCCCCCGGCTTTTTTTTTTGCCGAGCCGCGGGCGCACGCTGACGAGGAGCCCGGGCCGATGGGAGATATCGGCGGGAGCAGGCAGCTGAAGCAGAGGAGGAGAAGAGCGGCGAAGCGACGCCGGCGACCCCAGCCACCCGCCCGCCGCCCGCCGCCGTCCGCTGCGCCCCGCTGGCCGGCGCTGCTCGGCAGTACATACGCGAGGAGAGGTGGCAGGTCGATGCTGGCCTCTGCTGCAGCAGCTCTACAAGCCTGGACCTCTGCCTGCAGCAGCTCTACAAGTAGTGAGTGCCGGGCTCAGGGGAGCGGGGCAGGGCGCGGGGCTGAGGGGACCCTCCGGTGTGGCGAGCGTGAGGGCTGAGGGACCCCCCGTGTGGGGACTGAGGGACCCCCCAATATGGGGACTGAGGGACCCCCCCCAGTGTGGGGACTGAGGGACCCCCTATGTGGGGACTGAGGGACCCCCTATGTGGGGACTGAGGGACCCCCCCATGTGGGGACTGAAGGACCCCCCCATGTGGGGACTGAGGGACTCCTCAGTGTGAGGCTGAGGGACCCCCCAATGTGGGAGCTGAAGGACGCCCTAATGTGGGGCTGAGGGACCCCCCAGTGTGGGGCTGACGGGGCTGAGGGGACTCTCCCGTGTGGGGAGCGTGGGGGCTGAGGGACTCCCTCGTGTGGGGCTAAAGGGACCCCTTCTTGTGTGGGGCTGAGGGAGGGAGGCGAGGGATCCCCGAGGCAAAAAGAGTTCAGGACTTCGGCGGTGCTTGAGCTGTTCGGGGTCACAGTGTCCTGCCCTGCCCGGTTCCCCCTGCCCAAAAGAATCCTCTACCCTGTGCCCTCTCCTTCCCTCCGGCCGGGACAGGCGAAGGGAACAGACAAGGGAGAGCCACGAGCATCCATCTGGAGAGCAGCTTGGTGGGGAGGGAGAGTGGTGGGGGAAATGTCTCACGCTCTGGTGCCAGAGCAGGAGGGGGGTTTGCCTGTGGTTGATTGTGCCGAGGGTTTAAATTGAAATGTTCCCTGTGTGAGGGTTTGTAAACGGGGAAACCTCTGCCAAGAAAAAAGGAAGGGGAAAAAGAGGAAGGGGACAAAGTGGTCCACCCCCTTCATCCTTCCAAAAAATCACCGCACACGGAGAAAAGCACACCGTGTATTCACAGACCGGGGAGAAAAGAGGAGTAGAAAGCCTTGGGAGAAAGCTATCCATAATCATGGGGATTTTTCTGCCGTCAGCTGGGGAAAGCCGGCTATACTCGGTTCTGTACGGAGGCAGTTTCCAGATCTGTGCTTTCTAAAGGCTGGTGCATAAAGAGGAAACAGATGGGATCTATTCCCAGTGTGGAAAGTCTGTGGACTGAAACCTAAAGATCAGTTCCCAGTGCCGTGTATTGTGCTCAGCTTCGGCTTTGAAGGCTTGAAATAGAAATGGTTGTTAGTGGCGATTCTTTAGGAAGCTTTTCAAACTGATGCCACAGGAGGAGACAAATGAAACTGTGAAAATCCGCACAGCACACCGGGGAGCTTTCTGCCATTGAGCCGGTAATTGTAATGAGAGGTGTTACTCAGTGCCAGAAATAAATAAATAATAAAGAAAGAACCGGGTTTTACAACTGCATGGTCTGTTTCTATTCAGTTCTCATCTGCCCTCTGCGTTTGTGGACGATAGGGACGACACAATGATAGCTGCAGAGGACAAAGCTCTCCTATTCACACATGCTCACCCTGCCACCTTTGGAAAGTCTCTGGAATACAGCAGCACATTCATGGGATGTGGTAGAGAGCAGAGAGGCAAGTCCCTTCTACCTATTTAGGACGTGTTTTGTTGGGTTATTTTTAAACAGACTTGTAAGATCAAAAGTCACGTTAGTGCAAATAAAGTTTTAGACGTGGAGCAGATTATTTGAAAGTGTTATTTAAAGTGTATCTACGAAATGAATTTGAACTTGAATTCCTCCCCCACCCCTTCTCTCTCTGCCTGTCCTCCTACCCCAGGACAGGCAGATTCCCCAGTTTCTGAAGCCCATATTAACGGCTGAAACTATTAAGAAAAAAAAAAAAAGACATTTTCAGAGGATTCTTTTTATAGACACAGCTCTTGCCAGGTTGTGGTCGTTCGGTTTTTTTCAGCCTTCAGCATAAATCTTTTGATTGCCACTGAATGAAACATCTCTTGGCTTTGTTTGTGGTGAAATCAATGCAGGCTTCCTTCCACAGGCAAAAACTTCAAAATTAAGGGAGCAGGAGATCACGCCATAAGAAACTTGTTTTCCAAAGGTTTAAATAATTCTATCAATGTATAGATAATTCCTTTTCAAATAGTAAATTAATATCTTTTTAACTGAAGAGTGATAGAAATTGATTTATATCTATCTAGCTAAGATAACTGCAAAGTAATTCTTTAAAACATTTAAAATGTAAGCCAAATCTGATAACCTCTAAGACAGAGCTAAACTGAAATAGGTTTTTCTTGAGTGATGGTGAAATCTAAGGTAAGTGCAAGTATGCAAAACTATTCTTCAGGTAAGGTATTGTATTTTTAGTATACTCTCCAGTCACCAGAGAAACTTAAAACTGTGACAAGACTATAAAACAGGCAAAAGTAGAATGTTTTCACCTTTTACAGCCAAGGGTTGGACTGGTCAGATGACTCCAGAGAAGGGAAACTTCCTGCATATCATTAAAGCTACTTTTATGCCAAATGGTTATGATAGTGTTAAAAACAAAAAAAAAAGCACTTGAAAACTCCTGTGAAGGGAATATTTTATTGGTTTGTCATTAGCAAGAGGGACTGTACTGTGAAGGCATGTTTTCTGCAACTATATATTAGTCAAATGACTGGTTTGCATTATATGTAGCATGAGGATAAAACCCATTGCTGTGAAAAATCCAACAGCTGTTTTTCAGCTATTTTAGGCACAGAGCTTTAGATCTTTTTGAGGGAAGTGAGACCATCTCAGAAATGAGAACATATTGCCAATCATGAAGAAATATAATGGTTTTGTGCCACTGTGTATGAGTATCAAAGAGTTTTTATTTATGAGCTTTTCCTGCTCTTTTCCAAAAGACTCATATTCCCCTTTGAGATTTCCAGTTCCTGTTTTGGTTTTTTTTTTTCCTAGAGATAACATATGCTTGGAAAATTAGATTAATGTAATCTTTATATCTGCCTAAATGCCACAAAATGTGTCCCGTGTGCTTTCTTAGGGACCCTCCACAGAATAAACTCTCCCATGGGAGGTACAGTAGATGAAGAAAATAGCCAAAAACCAAGAATGTCTGAGGAATTTTATTGGACCACTGGCTGAAAGCCTGCAAGTTCAATTTGTGGTTATCTTCTATAACATCTTATTCAAGATAAAAATATGTCATTTACATAGTTTCTATGTAGGGACAAATATACCAAACCCTTAATCTGTTACATGAGACCCCATCACTTCGTCTGATTCAGGAGCAGAACCTCTTCTCTGACTTATTTTAAAGGAAGAAGTTACTAACCTGATGTAACAAAGTTGCATATCATGCTCTGTTCTCTTCCTCCTGATACTTTCATTAAATCTAATGCATTTTAAAAGCTGGTTCTTGACAAGACATCTGAAAAACTGATCAGCAAAGTTGTGGTTCCCAGGAGAGGACAGGGCCAGACTCTTAGAAGTTGTGTCAGTAGGAAGAACAAATTCATCTTGCTGTTACATTTTTTCCTCTAGAAATGAAATAATTTGAAAAATTCAGCTGCATATTGTTCTTTTTCTCTCTTTTTTAAACCCAGACTTTGATGGGAGTAGATACAGTTGGTATCATTTGTAGTTTCAGGTTCAGTTTCGGTGATTTTGGTGATACAATGTTTGGCTTTCAAATATTTGTTTAGAACCATCCTGAACAGGCTTAAATAGTAGGCCTGTTTCTCCAGTGCTGAGATTTTCAGAAGATGATAAGTAAAATAAAACTAAAATTAATTGTTATGGCATCTTAAGTGCTCAACTAAGGCACTGATGACAACATGGTTATTTTGAGGATTGCAAAAATCGTGCTCTGACTTGGAACATGAAAAGAAAAACTTCTAAGCACTGCCCTTCCAGATTTCCTCACAGAATGCTATACAACATCCACAGAATATCTCAGAGTCTAAAAAAATGCAATATTTGAAGTGAGGTTTTTTAGTTGATGCTTTCTTTGTATTAAAGAAAGAAAATATTTTTGTTTAGGTTTGTATCTTTCCCACAGTCTTGCTATGAAAAATCAAGAAAGGCAACACAGGCTCAGCCTTTTAATACTGGAATTATGTAAAATGTAGAGAGTAATGAAGGTTATGCCCCTCAACTTGCAATTTTAAGCTAAAGGGGAGAACTTCTCATGGTGATTTTCCATGAGCAGAAATCCTTTTTTCAATAAAGTAAGCTCTTAACTTGCAAACAGCGTGTTCTGCCTGCTGTCCATCACTGTTGAGTGAAGAGATGAAATTCTCTCCCTTTAAAAAGCAGATGTACATGTTTTTAACTTGCTTTCTTAACCCCCATCCTATAAAAGCTGGCACTGTTGTCACTTTCTCTAAGTTTAAATTTATAGATGATTCTAGATTGCCTTTCTTAGCATCACATTAAATAGCCTCTGATGTTTTACTCCTTTATAATTTGCCTTTTATCACCTGTTCCATTGATTGCAATCTCAAAGTCCTTTCAGGAAATATAATTAACTGCTTGCCATCTCTAATATTCATCACAAGAACCAACAAAAAAAGAAATACCGTCCTTTTTAAGGTGGTGCTTTTTTTCCCATCATCTTTTGTGAGGTTTTACAAAGGAAATGATGATGTTGGCCTGGGCCCACAGTGAATGACAGGAGTGGGTACTGATTGCATCTGCTGGGGGGATTTTCTAATGGTTAATGAGATTTGACAGAGGACATTAAATTTAGATTCAATATTAGGAATATTTAGTCTAATCTAGGTTTAGATTGGGATACTGGGAAGAAATTCTTCCCTGTGAGGGTGGTGAGGTGCTGGAAGAGAATTCCCAGAGAAGCTGTGGCTGCCCCATCCCTAGAAGTGTTCAAGGTCAAGCTGGACAGAGCTTGGAGCAACCTGGGCTAGTGGAAGGTGTCCCTGCCATGGCAGGGGCTGGGAGGAGATGATCTTCAAGGTCCCTTCCAACTCCAACCAGTCTGGGATTTCCCCCACCCAGTTGTAGGTTTGGGAACATCTCACAGGAGCCCCTCCAAGATTGGGAATCTCTCCCAAGGGTTGTCACTGGGCTGGCTGGGGCTGGCTGTTGATGCTCATGTCAGA